TTACATTGAAATAATTCCCAGTTCACACTAGTAAAACCTTTTCCTCTCAGGAACAGGAGCACTGGTCAAGGAGCTACATTCTGGCGTAAGTCTGGGTCAAAGATAAGTTCATGTTTCTCTGAGGAAACATTGCTGATCTTGACATGTGGGATGGGAGGGACACACACTATATTGTCCAGCAAAGGAATTAAATCTTCAATTTGATAGAAGAGTACAGCGGAAAATCTACTTTAAACGAATTCCTCCTGTACGTTTTTCATAAGAAATGTGATTTAACCTAGCTGAAAAACCCTTGCTACTCAAACATGATGCTTTCAGCTGGAAGAACTTCTTATACTGTTGTTTTTCTCTCTTTGCCAGCAAAGCTAACTTTGCAAACTCTCTGATGATTATTCTCAAAACAGATTCTTCTGAAGATGCTTCCTTCTTGAAATGTTTTACTAATTATGCCTTTTAACTTTGTTCACGGAAGAGAAGATACTCAGCCAGTTAAAGAATTTACCTTGTGTCAGAAAGTATTTGCATAGGTGCTGTTAGTAGACCGATTTGGTTTCTATTGTTGACTGCCCGGCAGTCTTTTCAGCTACCAGTTCTTCAGCCATCTGGACATCTGGGTTTTTTTCTTGCTTGTTTTTTTCTGTATGAGAAGCTGAGTTAGGCAACTTACATCCCTTCAGAATAAGCAAAGCTCTGGTCCCTTTACTTGCCCCTCTCACAATTCTTGCAAATCTAGCTGCAGATCTAGCCTTTAAAATACCATCACAAATCAGTAAATAAAAGAAAACTGAGTCTAATTTTGAGAAAGAATAGCCACCATTTTTATATAGTGCATATAAAAATATGTTCAACATAGAAAAGGTTTAGATAGATTTTTTTTAAATTAACAGCAGTGCAGAAAGTGTTTAAAGATGTATTCACTTCAATGACTCAGTTTTTCCTCATTTTTTTCGATGCCACAATAAATCAGACTGTGAAATAAGTTTGTTTTAAGTAGCAAAAACATTATGATTTCACATTTAGCAGCAGAAAAATTGCCTTATGTTCTCAGTAAGGCTCTCAGATACCTTTCACACAGTGGTAGTTTATTTTCTGACGAGATGCTTCCTATGGGCGAAATCAGACTTGCCATCACAAGCCATGCTGAAGTGTAGCAGCTGAGGTGGCTGTGTGAGAGGCCAGATCCTGAAGAAATTTCTTTTTGCATTTAGTATTTAAGAAGTTAAGTTTGCAGCAAGCAGCTGAAATTATTTGCCAGTTAAACCTACACAATTTTGGTGATTATTAGAACTTTCCAATCTGAATTTATATGTAAGCAGCCTACAGCAATGTCTTACCCCATTTGCACAAAAAACAATTCAATACGTTGCTCAAGATAGTGAATTTATTGTGAATTTTCACTAGTACAATACAAAATCAAATTCTGAACACACAATTAAACCCTGAATTTGTTAAGGAGGTTTTAGCAGATATTAGTGAAGTTCAATAGCAAAGTATACTTCAATGGAAGTCAAAATGTTGGTTTTCTATTTTAAAAAGTCCTGGAAATCTCAGACATTATAATACCTGAATACAAAATTCTGAAAATTTTAATAACATTGCACTATTAAACGGTTCATATCTTAACATTCAAATGGATAAGACAACAGAAAAAAAAAATCTAAAAACTGAAGCAATACAGAAAGCAAGATGAACCAAAAAACATCTTCTGAAACCTTAAACACTTGAACATTATCTACATTAAATCGGTCAATAATTTCAAGTAAAAATATAACTATCTAAAACATTTTAACTTGCTTTAGTTAAAGTTATCAAAATTAACATTCTCATTTTCAGTGAAACTACTTTTTCCTGAAGGATTTTTTTTTTTTTACAAACATTTTTTTGCTGGTTCTACTTACAAGATTTATAGCTGTGTCTGTGCAGTTGTAACTACCATTGAGATACATACATATATACACACATATATATACATATATACAATGAAATGTAATTGTTTGTATCATATTTGATTCAATGAGAAAAATCCTCCAGTACCAAGAGTGAATTTTATTTAATGAACTGAATTCATTATTAAAAATCTAACTCAATCCCAAGATGCCCTTCCTTGGCTTACATTCCTATAGCTACTATTTAATAAGATTTCAATCTTGGTATGTCATAACTGGTTTATATGAGTGGCCTCAAAACATTCTGCTTTATATCTTCATAAATGAAGAGACACCCAAAACATATCAGTGAATGCTGAAAAGAAAGCTTGTTCTTCAGCTAGTTCTTCGTAATTTTAAAGACAAATGGAAAAATTCGAAGGCCATTTTCCAGCAATACCTATCCACTCCAGACTTAAAAAATCTTGCCAGAAAACCTGGCTCATATCTCCTTGACAATTCAAAAGAACATTCTATTTCCACAGGTTTCAGAAGCGGTCGAATAACTTATTCACATGGGAAGCTAAATATAAAGCTTATGTTAACACTTATTAAATAAAAATTGCATTCTGGAAGTAAAACTTTCAAAAACTGCAACTGTGCTTGGCAACCCTAGAAATGAATGAGGAATACAAACCTTTTAGAAATACCAGTGCTCTGGAAGTCTGAAGATATCAGAGTGAGCATTCATAAGACATTTGTTCCTTTACTTGAAGGAGACAAGATGATGAGCATTTCTTTTAACACCTTCCCACATGGGTATTTGAGCATTCAGATGTTTAAAACAGATGGGATGGGGGAGAGGCAAAAGTCTTCAAGTGACCAAAATAGTAATTTTTCTAGAGAGTTTCAAGAGTTCTGAACAATCACTCTTCAGGTCTGACCCAGTGGGCTTCAAACGATACCCAGCACTAATGCTTGGAAAACAAATACTCACATCACTTTTAAAAATGGCATTGTGGAGCAGGAAGAACAGACTGGGGGAAAATATCTTTAGGGCTGTAACATTCAAGAGAGCAATTAGGATGCTCTAAGGAGAAAGATTATTACCAGAATGAATTTGCATGTTAGCTTTTATTTATTTTTATTTATATATTAATATACTCTTCTGCAGGTAGCAGGCAGCATACCTGAGAAGTTGCTTTTACTTGAGAAAATCATGTTAAACTATGTACCATGGAAATGAATTGTTTGCTTTATTAGTAATAATATTCTAGTAGTAAAGAAGAGGTGTGGAGTGCATCATTTTTCATATCTTATGATTTTTCCCAATACTTAAATATTGTTTAAACTATTTTTAATACAAGCAAATAAAAGGAACATTTAATGTGAAAACAATGAAATTATAAACATGACGCAGTAAGTGCACGAAATTTTATCTGTTCTTTTTCATTGTCTGTTACACCAACTGCCGGGAGTGAAAATAATCAGAATGCAGATGCTATCTCTGCCTCTTGTATTGCAATCACTATATATATACTACATACCTTTATGCTATGTAAGAGCAGTATCCTCATGTATTCAGCGCCGTGTAAGCAAATGCAAAAGTAACCATTGCTAAAGTTCATCACGTGAAACATCCAAGCTCACTTATGCTGAATGCAGAAGAAAAGCCTTGAAAAGAATTAGCCAAGGATACTGATCCAGCATCGTATCACAGTTCAGTCAGAAAGAGAGATTAGGATAAAACCAAAAAACTGTTTCTTAGATTGAAGCCACAGTATACCAGGCATTCACTTCTGTGTACAAAAAGTAGCATCAACCTAGATGGTCTACCATATGGTCAACCAACATATGAACAACAAAATTGCCTTGTCCATTACTCTCAAATACCGTCAGGAACAGAAGCTGCAATGGGCTCACTGTTGCCAAGCCTCATTACAGTGAAGGCAAGTTTTTACAAGTCAGGGAGATGCAGCTGCTATCTGATGGCGTCGCAAACTGCAAGCATGTGAACTATCTCTCTCCAGCTCTTGTGAAAACTACCTTTTCTTTCAGCAATGCCAGATAGTCATGCTGTTTTGAGAAGCAGAGAACAGCCAGGTATGTCATTGTTGAATTATCCCTAGAAGGAAATTCCCATTCCTAGATGAAAATTCCCATTTATATGCTTCAAGCTTCTTCTTTTATAAGCATGATCTTAAGGGAAGACATTCTTACTGGGTTTATAGTGAGAACCACATTTTCCTAACTCACAAATAGTTTTTATTCATGAAAGCAAGACACCCCAGCATCCTCAGATAATCGCAAAGCAGATGCCAAAATCAGTGTAAAAATCAGGTTTCTGTACAAATAATAATGAACTATTTGACTTGTGGAAAAATAAACATTAGCTAGTACACAAAATAGCAACTTAAATATATTGTTTCCATGAAGCTCGTATGGAAAGCAAAAACATATGTATATTTTATTTTTGAACATTAAATATTCACAGAATGTTTATTAAGACAAATACATAGCTTCATCAAGATGAAAGATTTGGGAAGACTTGTGAATTTTTAAACTAAAAAAATAAAAACATAATGTTAATAAGACTTAATGGCATAGTTAAATATTTAAAATATGTCTGTGAAAATCTCTTTAATATCTAGAGAGCTAAATACTTTTTATCTATAAAACAACATTAGCTACCAAAATTTGGTTGTGCATCAGCTGACTTAATCAAAATGCATTATATTTATGCTCTGCTACGGTTTCTGTCTTCTTTATGCATAAATAATAGATATTTCTTCTGAATTGGCTAGCTAAGCCAGACAAACTTATGGGAAAAATATGTTGTACCACATTTGGGCTATATTAAGGAGCACAGTTCTTCTAACAGAGGCTTGAAACACACTGCTTTCTTTTCGCAGTTTATATGACGCTACTTGAGATCCATGCCCAATGGACTCCTATCTGAAAATGAAGTAGGAAAAACTATTTCATACTTCCTATTGTTGCACAAGTATGCATATGATGGATCCTACATGATGAACTGTGACTACTTTGTTCCAGATTGCTGTACAGGCAACAAATAATCATTAGGGGCAAGATTACTTGCCATGGTAAACTATTGGCTTTATTTGGTTTTTCGTGGCTAGAGCAATAACAGAACTTGTGATCATTCTTTAAAATATTCCCTGATCCTTAAATTTGTCTCCACAGGTGTTGCTACAATGAGATCTTACAGGGGTTGTGATCAGCATGCAGTTCGGATTCATTATAAAGATTATGCATCCACAGACCATGCTTTAGACAAAGTCATGCAAGAAGAGCAGCTATCCTTTGTAACTCTTTACGTCTCTACTCAGGCTTTCAGAAAATTACTTCAAAATGTTTAACCGAAACAACTAGCTCTATCTAAAGTAGGCCTCTGCTCTTAACATTTAGCTGAAAATAGACTAATTAACAGCTTAAAACTTCTCTGGAAGTGCCTGAAATGCTAAGCAGAATTTAAAATGACTCTGTCCGGCACAAGGATGACTACCACATTCATACTTCCTAAGTCGATTCGAAAAAGGTCAGATGGCCAACGATTCTCACCGAAAAAATCTTCTTGAAGATGTAAGCAAAGAACTTTGTCTTCACTTGTCATTACAAGTGGAGAAAAAGAGCATGGATTGTGCAATAAAACCACCAGAAGAACTCAGCCCACCAAACTACATATTCTCACTGGCATTTCTTTTTATTTGAAATATGTCAGGAGCATTAAACTAGCCAGATCTTTTATTAGCTCTGATTTTACTGATAGCCGAAGTGGTAAGCACAACAGCTTGACATATCCACCAAAACTGCCCAAGTAATCTTCTCAGCAATGTCTGAATATAGTTTCGGTATCATCTACATAGCCTCTGTAAAAAGAGAAAAGAACCGTAACCATGGAGCTATGGTTCTCACTGCTTCCTCTCAACTGTAATGACATTCGATTAAGAAAATTTAATTAGTGTCCACCTTTAAGGTATCACTCTCTGGCTAGATTTTTCATTTGATTAGCTTTAAATCCCACAGGTTTAAACTGAAACCTGAAATTCTGCAAAGGCAAAGTGATGCTAGATTGCTGCATTACCACTGATCTGCACAGGGATCCTGAAATCATGTTTTTCATTTCTTGTTCAAAAAATAGTGTGATCTCTAAACAGCTGCTCTGTTGACTCCCACAGGTAGCTGCACTTCAGTCGTGAGAGAAGTAATTCCTATATATAGTGCCCATATGTTCCTCTTCTTTCAAAGGCTTATTGGAAATTACATAAACAAACAAACAAAAAAAACCTGCTTCAAATTGCAGCGCATAGGTTAGCCTCTGCTTCTACACAGCTGCTAGAAAGCCTTCTGTGAAGACCACGAGGTAGAGCCCCATAGTGGAACAAAAGTGATAACTGGGGTCAAAAAGCTTTTAATTTATTGCTGACCTTTGGTGTTAAAAAGCCAATTGTGCTAGCCTATGTCTAAAACCTAGCACATAAGCAGGTACCCTGCAAAGCCGGGAGTATCATGTGGGAGTTCAGATTTTCAACATGCTTTTAGATGAGCTAAGAAAAACAAGTGATGGATTAAAGTAAGATTTTTATCACTAATTAATAACATTTCCATTAAAAAAAAACAAAGCTCCGAGACTGAGAACAACAAGCAATTGAAGAAACCAGGTTGGAAACCTTACCACGCTAAATTAAAGATTCCCCAATCAATTTTTCACCAGTATGCTGCCACACAAATTGCGAGGTGGCTTCATTTGCAGGTTGCAAATTTCATTTGCAGAGAAGTTAGCCCATTTCAAAAGAGGAGTTTCCTACCAATTCCCCCAAGTTCAAATTTCAGCTTCTCCAGTGATTTCATTTCGATTTTTGTGTGACTTTTTACAATTTCTGCTTTATTTGATTCTCATGTTAATGGTTTGTCAGAATACCATAGAAAAGGCAAGGTATACATAAAATCTGTTCAATTTATAATGTGGGCAAAGAACTCTGATGTGCCTGACGGTAGAGTTCAATCCTAGCTTAATTTGTAAGTGATATGTTGGGAGTTTTAATCTTAGGGCCCATATGTCACATCTCAAAACCAGATCACACTTTGGCATGAATGGCAAGCTCTGCTTAGAAAAGCTCTAAGATTGACACATTGGAATGGGTTTGGGAGATGCTCATGGGGGAAAGCTTATTCATCTTTTATCACTGGTGGAAATAGCCACACTTCAGATATCACATATGGAAAAACAGCATTTTCAAATCAAAGGATTTTTATGGACAACTATGAAATCAGCTTTTTCTTAGAGCCAGTGATCTATGTATACGTTTTTTTTTTTAATCTGAGTCTGTGCTCTAAATAATAGGGACAACATCCATCTTGTAGCTTCTGGTCCCATAGTTATGATAACACAGAACAGACAGGCAAAAAGGATCAGAAGAGACAGGGCGCAAACTTCAGTGTAATTGCCAATTTAATAAAAAAAATTTATTTTCTGCTAAGTATACTCTTGTCTATCCTTAGAGCTTTCATAATGCACTAAACCAGTATATACAGCACAGAGCTACTCAAACGCCACATCTGTAAGTATGTTTACTCACTTTTCCAAAACTGATTGTAAAAACAACCCTTAAAAACATCTAATACCAGCTCCTAACTGAGTAAGACCCATAGAAACACCAGTGACTTTTCCTTTAAGGGAGGTGTATTAATGTTGAATAAAACTAGCCTATGCCTATATAGTCCATTTTCACTTTTACGTATCGTGGTGTTTGCTGTTCGTAGTACCTACTGCACAGAATAGTATCCAACTGGTACAGATTCTTTCATGCAGGGCTCTTCAGTTGTGTTTAATCACGCTGGAACTCCCGATAGGGGTCTATGTTATTCTGTTTCCAGATCACACACAACTTTAGACCAAATTCCACATTTTCCTTTCACAGACAAAGAGGAACTATTGCAGTGCATCCTAAATCCTGTTTTCACTGTAGCCTTCTCCAAATTTAAAAGTACTGGAGTCTTCTCCAGCTTTAAAAGCTAAGTATGGCCAATTAGCTACCACATATTCAACTGATCCTCAGACAACACTTCTTCCTCAAGCAGTCGTGTGCTAAGGCTGGAATCGTAATGAACATGGTTTCTTTATTGTTCTCTAACGACCATCTTCTGTCCGTCAGCCTCATAGACCTCGTAGTAAAACCCTTCCCCTTCTGCTGTTGAAGTATTCTACTGTCTTGCTCTAGTTCTTATTTATCAGCAGTTAATGTTTCCAAACAGTAGTAGGTAATTTAAATCAGAATGGAAACATCTTATGCCCACAAATGCTGTCTTAAATACAGTTTTGTGGAGTCTCAGTACTTGCAATCATATTATACACAAAAGCATTCCGATAGCTGGGGGGAGAGAAAGAACCTTTCCTCCTCTTTTTTTTCTTTTCTTTTTTTTTCCAGGTGTGCCCTAACAACTCTAGAAAGAATGGATAAGCGACTTTCAGTAAAATACGATGAAATATTGTGGTCACTAAGTTAGTAACCTGATACACGATTAGGGAGGCTAAAGAACTGGCCCATTTCACTGCATGGAAACTTACCATTTGTCCTTATTTCCTTCATCAGATGATTAGATGAACAGAACATTAGATGATTAACAGAACAGAAGTTCTTTAATTAATTCCAGGTCTTTTATCAGGGGAGTTTAAGATAGAATAGTTGGAAGTGGAGAGTTACAAGATCTGATGCAACGGATCAGACTAAACAAACTGAATAAATGTGACAACATAAAATGTCTTTAACAGAAATTTCTTTCAACAGAAACTTTATCTCAAAGTCCTCTCTAAACATAACCAATGCAGTAGAAAAGTTACGACAAATTTTAAAAAACACCCACAAGTCACAGCTTACATGATTGCTGGGTCAGATTCTGTCACGCTGTTGCGCAGAACCTACACTGCCCCATGGTTAGGTGTTTTCTCGAATCATGTAGCACTACTGCAAGCCAGCTCCATGTAATCCCTGGTAGAGGGAAGAAGTAATCACAAAAAAGAGATCCTTGTAGTCTACTGA